ACATGGAGCTGGAAGACGTGTCCACCTCTAGAAACAGCTTGGCTGGTGCCAGTCTTGTGTTGGTGGGTTTGCTTTTATTGACTTTTCTTGTGTTGGGTGCCCGTCTGACTCTGGATGTCCCAGTCTTCCCAATCCTTTTCGCGCCCTTCACCGCAGTGGCTGACGACCGAAAACGACGGTCGGAGACACAACGCATCACGAGACCCAATGAAGCTAGCTGACGGGATGTAAGAGGCAGACACTGAAAAAGGGGAGTGAGGTTTTTGTTTACGCGTCCAGAGGATGAACAAAAGACATGAAAAAGATGATCATGACTAGTATGGATGGTGTAACATGACAAGTGAGAGCGTCGCTCTCAGACACACAGAGGACTTGGTCGTCCATGGCGCCACGTCGCCAGGCCAAGTCAACACCGAAAGGCAGCGGCGTATTGCGTCCTTTCTGTAGCACTTCACACATGGGGCGAAGGACATTCTTCCTTTTTGCGTGGCTTCCCACTTCCCAGAAGACTAAGGTGGGCACCGTGCAACTTGCAACCGCTGGTTTACAGTTTCGGGCTTATTTTTTGGGTGTGATTTCCGTGTGACAACGTCATGACCTAAAGATCTCCGCATAGATATGCCTGCAGAGTGGGCCGGCATAAAGATTCAAGCCTTTGCCGCCCAGCACTTTGTGGTACTTGGTCACCGCGGCATACCGATATGGTCTGGTGAGGGGAAACGTGACTGATCCTTTCAAGTCAGCGAATGCAAAAATGTTCCAACGGTGGTTGCTGTAGAGGACATCGTATATTTTTTTTTGGGGAGGTGTTCAACGAATCTACCAAGGTTTCTTCGGCTCCACCTTCTTAAGCAGTTTTGGGTGTTTGCTCCTCAGGTCTGCAACCGAACTGTTCGTCCTGCCCGCGCCGCAGAACGGAAGACCAGCACCACATCGCCATCCACACGCAACAGCCTTAGAGTGGCCAGATGCTTTGGGATGGCTTCTGGGATCTTCTGGGATCTGGCCATGAGATAGCATGAATCTGGTATGTTTTCCTTCCTGTTGCGTCAAATATTCAAGAGTCCTGCTGTTCAGCTGGAAGAGACACTCTGTGGTCTAAATGCTGGTCCAGTCAGCACTTGGCGATCACATGTGATCACTAAGCACACCTTTCGCAACCATCTTGGCGACGTGTCCGCAGCTAGCTACTGCATGGTTGATGTTCCAAGTGTGAATTGAACGAGTGGTCCCGCCACCTCGTGCAGTAGTTCACAAGCACTCCAGTAGTATGCTTGTGCCAATCAGGCGACCAACCTTGTTTTTTCAACCCAAATGTCCTTACGCGCCGGGGAAGCCGGATGCCCCCGGCCCGGATCCTTTCCCGTCCGTGACTCGCCTTTCCCACACGCCGAGGCGAAGCGGAGGAAGTCGGCGTCGAGGAGGCTCGATGAGTGGGAAGAGAGGACGCAGGGCGCCGGCCCAAACATGTCCATCCCCACTCGGGACTGGCATAGTTACATACATTGACCCCGGGTCAACCACCCAATCTAGCTAAATATGCCAGTTTCATGGAGTGGGATGGGTGGGGATGGGCTTTTCCTCCCACCATGTGAGGCCCGACCAGTCCAACAAGGGTCGCAAAGGACGGAGCACCAGGTAGGTCAACCGGTCGGTCTCGTGGTGAGAAAAGGCTTGCGCCATACAGAGGGGCTTGCAGGGGTTTGCGTGGGTGTGGAGTTCCACTGGGATTTGACTGCTTCATGTCATTCATCTACCACGTACTTAAGGTTGCCACATTTCTTTGTAAACCTTTTCATTGGTTGAGGAGTTCCATTGGGATTTGCCTGTTTGATGCACTATTTTGGCTACCACTTTCTGATCAGAACTACGTTGTCAATGCCAGAGTTAGAATGAGGTTGGATACAACTTTGATGTTTATCAGTTCTTCCAAACGGTTATTGGCGAATGGATGCCAGGCACACCGAGGCACACCTAAGCCGTGCCGCGCCTACGGAGTTCCATGGGGGAAACCATGTGTTGGACACATCCGGCGTACCTTTCACCATGGCCTGTAGGACTTCTGAGATGTTTCATGGTCTGTTTTGGGGTCTGACTGCAACAGGTGCTTCCTGGTGACAACAGGTGCCCAGAAACCACCTGTTAGGGTCTCCAAACAGCCTGTTGGAGGGTCCTGGTATAGGGATTTGATGTGCGCTTCCGACGACAACGGTCTGGTTTGTGGAGAGGTTTTCACACCAAAAGCGCCGGAGGAAACGACCTTTGTTCAGGTCTCCTGACTGAACCTTTGTGGGGTTTCCTGACTCGGATTCAACCTAGGAAGATGTGTGGCCCGAAAAGCGCCCTCTTGTGGCATCCATGTGGCATCCCAATTTCGACTGATTTCGTGGCGACCGCGAGCAGTCGAAATGCCAGGAGTTAGTCTCACAAGGAGGCAGACCCCCGTTGATTTCACGTGTGGACTGTGGGCAGGTCATGTGGAGAATCACAAATCAGAGGAGTTTCCAAAGCAACTTTGGATGAAAAAGGTTTGACTGGATTCTCCGTTCTGGTTTGGGGGGGCAGGAGAACATATAGGTTGAAGGCCGGTTTTTCAACAATCAATTGTGTTGACCTCCAAGTGGAGGTAACCTACTCAATCTGGTCATCGAGACACACCACACTCGACTCTTTGATGTGAAGAGAGATGTCGCGAGAGAAGTGGGCATTTGACACCCGAACTCTTTTGTGTTCGATGGGTTTTTCCGTGAAGGATTGAACCTTTTGTGCTGAGAGAGGAAGGAGTTCTGGACAAGTTGAGATGAAAGAACTCATGGACTCTTGTCCGAGTGTGGTGTGGTTTGCATGCTTGTTCCCCAGATAGCGCAGCTATGGGGTTCTTACTTCAAATAACAATGAGTTGCCCGTGTGGGCTTTCGAGACAGGTTGCTGGTGCTGGGTGCCCGTGCTGGTGCTGGTGCTGGTACGCGGTGGAGACAGGTTGCTGGCGCCGGTGCTGGTGCTGGGTGCCGGGTGCCGGGTGCCGGTGCTGGTGCTGGTGCTGTGAGCTGGCTGTGCACGCGGTGCTGGTGCCGGGTGCCGGGTGCCGGGTGACGGTGCTGGTGCTTTGAGCTGGCTGTGCGCGTGGTGGAAACAACGTGCCACTGCTGGGTGCCGGTGCCGGGTGCTGGTGCGGGCTGTGGTGCTGGTGCTGGAGACACGGTGCCGGTTGGTAGAGACAGCGGGCTCGGGTGCCGGTGCTGTGAGCTGGCAGTGCGCGTGGTGGAGGCTGGGCGCCGGTGCTGGGTGCTGGCATTGCGCGTGGTCTGACAGTGAGAGGTAACAAACCGCCGCTTGCGCAGTGAAGGGCGACCAAGCACCGCTTCTGACAATGAAGTGCCAGCAGTCATGGGCCGCATGAACTTATGCACGCAACATCATACGGTGTTGTCGCTTGAGCGTTCTTTGTCTATTAGCGCTGTGGAGTATTTACACTCTTCAGGTTCTGTCTTCGCCGACAGCTGTGTCAAGGGCTGTTCTGTTTGCGTGCATACTTTTGTACGTATAATGTTCTATGCGCAACCGACCATTGTTTCAGCATGTTTCCGCATGCTACACACACAGTAGTCGTGCTGGATACTACGGGCTTTGCCGTTTGTGCGCATACTTTTGTGCGCGTAAACTTGTACGCGCAAGATCATACGGCCTTATCGTTCTGCAGGTCGTTGCTTCAAGCATGCTACAAAGTCAACAGTGGCGCTGGATACTGCCTAGCCTTGGGCCAATGACACTTATGGGCTTTGCTCTTTGTGCGCATACTTTTGTGCGCATAAACTTATACGTGCCAGATCATACGTTGTTATTCCCTAAGGGATAGCTATGGGGTTCTTGCTGTAAATAAGAATGAGCTGGCTGCGCGCGCTTTCGAAAGGGTGTCGGTGCTGGTGCTGTGGTCCTGGGTGCTGGTGCTGTGAGCTGGCTGAGCGCGCGGACGGGCGGCGGCGCTGGTCGGGCGCTGGCGCCGCTGCCGGTGTTGTCAGCTGGCAAAGCGCACCGGTGCTGGTGTCAGCTGATTGCGCGCGCTGCGGAGGTGCCGTAAGCCGGCTGTGCAGGCTGCGTACATTCTTGTTCCAGCCAGTCGCATGTCAACAGGTCGTGGGATTCTGCCTAGCTATCTGGGTCTATGCTGGTGTAATTTTTCTCCAGTGTGGGGCTTAAAAGACGGGCTGAAGTTGAAGTAAGCAGAGTGTACAAATTGGCCCATGGCCGGATTTGACCCTAGAAGAGCTTCCACAAATGATGCATTTCTGTCAGAGGAGCGAGGAAAAGAAAGAGAGGGCACACAAGTTTTAGGGGGAGAGCCGAAAGGAGACACAAACAAAGACAACCCGTGTTGTGTGTGTGTGACTTGTCTTTGCAATACGAAACATGCAACATGAGAGACTTATTCAGAACGCGCAGTCTGAACTTCGATTGCCGCACCAGGCACTGCCGATGAGACGGTGGCTACAGCAGCTCGGGTGCCCAAATGACTCGTTCCCTCGGTCGCCACCTTTGGCCTCGGCTGGTGAGGCTGAAGAGGGTTTCAGATGAGAAGATGGTTCTGGAGCGCGAACGCACACCCCGCTTTTTGACCTGAAATGAAGCTAACTCCAACTTGGACCTCTTCGCACTGGCATATGTTCTTGGACACCTGCCCCTCCCAGATCTTCCTCCAAGCTGCTGTGAAAGGGCTTGTCCCCTGCAGTTTTTTCGGCTCTCAAGCCATAAACCACCTATAACCACCTTTTCCGTGAATTGGAACCAGAAGAACACGTGCTTTGCTTGAACGAATGGATATGTAATGATATATATATATAGCTGAATGACAATCACATCCGTTGCGAAGGGCTGTTGTTCAAAGAATTTGTGCAATCATAATGTTCCACGTTCCTTTTTTGTTTCATCACCTGTGTATTCAGCATCAAGTCACATACGACCTGTATATTCCTACTTTGTGTACAGCATCCTTTGTCTCCGCCATGTCGCAGCAGCTTGTCTATGCAATCTCTGTGGCAATCACTGCCCTCATCCAGGGAGGAGGCCGTCTTGGTGCAAAAATGCAATGTATGATTATGTTTCATTATATAGGTATATATGCATTGGAAGACCATGATTCTACTGCAGAGATTAATAGACAACTTAGTGTCCGGATGACAATAAACAACTGAACAACGTTTATGCACACACACAACACAGTATTACCATTTATATCACTTTAACTTTGCATTGGGCCGTTTTGCACTGCATTACACCTACACACATGATTGCATCTGTGAAGATGGTTATGAGTACCCTCACTGTGCCAAACAGCAAACAAGGCTCCGCTGTCCCAGTTCTCGCGCGCTCTGTTCAGGATTCCTTGTGGCCTATGCCCTCCAGACCGAGACATTCTACGATATCCTTGGAGGGGTTAACTTCCTGGCTTTGGCCTTTTGGTCTTTCCCCCAGCCGTTGGTCATCACACCAGAAGGATGGCAGACACACCTCAGCCATCTCACAGAGTGCCAGTCGTTTTCCCAGGTCTGCCAGCAGCAGCACATTGGACTTGCGGAAGATCTGCACAACAGTCTTGTTCGTGTGCTCCAGGACACCTGTTTTTGATTTGAGAATGCTGCATGCCTTCCACATCTGAGTTCAAGTTATCGCATTGACTCAATCACTCAATCCTGATAACCATTGTGAAAAGTTTGTCCGTCGGCCATGGTGAGTGATTCTTTGTGCAACCATCGACTGAATAGATGTTCCACGAAGCGGAGAATCCAAAACCCGGGTGGACCTCAGACATCGTTCGACATCTGCAGGGGTTGGCTGTTGCTCTTCTTGGCATGGCGTGCTCATGAGCGCAAGGGTGACGCACGCTTCGACCCTTTGCAAGGATGGTTTGAGGAACGAGACAGACGTTGACACGAGCACATCTCTTGACTCGTGTGGTGGGCCACACTGAAGGTTTTGGTGAAGTTTCTATGTGCTTTTTGGCCGACCTTTGTGTTCTTGGATGACTGCTTTGGTATGCCTGCTTCTGTCACTGAGGACGATATCAAGGGCAAATTCATATCTTTTATGAAAGCCTGGATAGTGCAGGGGATGTGGGTGATGCTCATTTCTATGCCAGGCTGGCTGTGAATATCAAGCAATCAAGAGTCAAACACCATTTTTTCAAGCATCCCATAGCTGTTGCGAGAAGGAATCTCAGCCGTAATGTGCAATCTATCGAAGGTCATGCGCCGGTTTTTGTTCTCCTCGAAAGTCGGCCGGTTTGGCAAAAATCTGTGGTTTACCACGCTTGCCCCCATCGTTTGCAGTCATATTCATTAATTCTTCGAACAAGTCATCACCACTGGACTTCATCGACATCGTGTTCATGCTGTGCTTTGCCCTGTGTGTTGGGACAGAGATCTTGGCAGATATCCAGAGTCTTGGCTTAACGGACTTAACACAACACTTTGAAGCTTCGCCGATGCTTGTGAGCCGTGTGCGGGTGCCATATGTTGCCAAGGAAGGCTCTCTGGGTGAAGAAAGGCCAGATATCTCTTTGGACAACTTGCAGAACTTGTCCCACTCAGACTCTCATCGACCCTTCTATATAAATAGGAGCCAGGCCCTGAAAATCCGGTTGAACCCGGGACCCGGACAGGCAGAGTGAACGGAGCATCTGGGCACCCCAGGTCTCGTAGGCCGTCGACTCGTTGTGACTGGCGAGGCCGTCCCGGGGGCTTCTGCCAGGAAGGGCTTTGGGGCTTCTCGCGGCGCCTGGGCGGAACGCGGATGGAACGGAAGTGGAACATGATAGATGTTGGGTCTGTATTCTTTTTCTGTAACAGTCCGGTAGACAATAATTATCACGTCATATAGTGAAAGGCCTGCAACCTGGCCATGGTAATGAGATAGACCAGAGATAAATCTTTGTAGAGGAAAGTCGTCTTCCCAGGGTTGCCAGATGCCATCCAAGTGCACTCTGAGGATATGTTTTTTCCAAACCAGCTCTCTTTGGAATTGCAATTTTTGAAGGGACAGCCCTTGATGATTCAAGAATCCTAAATTGGAGACAAGAAAAAATCAGGGCAAGTGCCAATGGATGGCAATGAAGCAGCTTGACCTAATTTGGTTGTGGCTGGATCAGCTTGACCTCATTGATTCGGCTGAATGGAAGAGTTCACTTAAAGACAGATGAGCTGGAGGGCTCGGGAGGATGGGCTGGAAGGGAGTGGGAGTGGAAACCCGTTCTGAAGATGGTCCTGGACAGACCCCTTTTCTCAAGATAGGCCCTCCTTTCCTCAAGTCTAATATATCCGGGAGCCCCAGAGATGTGTTTCCATGTGAGTGAGAGTGTGTACTTGCTTTACTTGCCCTTTAAGATGATCTGACCCTGACCCTATCCTGAAGACTTCCTGATATCCATTGCCCAGTCGGGTGAATCCTGTTTTTGCCACGATTGCGCAAAACCGTGCGACGTAAGCCTTACAATCGAGCAGATTGAGGGCTTTGTAGATGTCTTAGTGTTCATTCCGAGACGTTTCAGAACTCTCCCCTGGCACTCAAATGTCACTAGACCACCTCATCGAGGCGGCCAGGTGCCGACTTCAGGTTCGGACGACCATCGCTCCATCCGACGACTCCATGGTTCTCGACCGGGCCTCGTCGCTCTCATGCGACTCCGCGTCACCGGCCGATCCGCCACCCGAGGCATCCGAACTATTTCGGAGAGATCTTTCAGTGGTGGTTTGCTTGGGCGTTGGCGTATCATAGCTCGGAAGCTGCAAGAGGTGGAGCACGTTTCCAAGTGAAGTGGATCTACTGATCTATAGTATAGGAAAGACAGAGACAGCCGGCACAGTCACACTTGTAGACTCCTGTTGTCCCGTACTCCCGTAGTATGCACTATTTTTTGTTTGCCAGTTCTGGTCATTGTTTTGCTGATCGCAGCTCTCTGGGCAGGTTACCTTGATCCTCTCTGGTGGGCCTGCGCCATCTCTCCAATTTTCACCATGCTGATTTTGCTTCACCTGAAACCCACTGGCATTTACAACGCTGAAGGGAAGAACTTGAAGCGATACTACGACCAATGTCCTGCAACTTGGGCCTTGAAACTACGAGACTATCAGACTAAACGTCGCATGCCACGAGACTATCAGACTGGTGCGCCGGGTGTTCCGACGGTGATCAGGATGAATATGGCAAATATCGGGAGAGCACTTCGATCCTGATCCCCATGATTGGCTACCAATATGTTCCGCTGTTTCTGAAGAGGAGTTGGTTGATGCTGTTGGTTGTTGTGTTCTGTCCTTCAAGTTCTTGGTCTTATTGCTGTAATAGCATCTGTGTTCAGTTAACAATATTCCTAGATACTCTGACGTTGACCATCCACTTGTCTCGAAACATGCTCATAAAGTATGAGATGAATACGCTGAATAGACAAGCAGCCCGCACTTCGCCAGGATAATTTTCTTCGAGTACGAGAAATACGAATACAATCCAAAGGTCGCAGGAGAAGTGAAGAAAGAGTGAGGAGAAGAGTGACAAAGAAACACCAGGATAATTACTCACAATTCTAGTTGCTACAAAGTTCCTCTTCTCCAAAAGCCATCAGCAATGAAGCAAGGAACATGTTTGGTAACACAAGATCTATTTTCGGACAAACAGGTGATGAAGAAGTCGTGTTTGAGCAGAGAATGGACTCGTCCAGTGAAGAAGTCCCGCATGAGTCACTGAGAGTCACTGACACCCTCCAGCGCTGGAAGCTCATGAGCAGTAGTGGAACCAGTGTTGTCCCTGAAGGATCATTGGCAGAAAAGCTCACGAGCAGTGAAGATGAGTGAGAGTCGTAGACAGTATTTTCAGACTCCCCATTTAAGATGGACAGTGAGGTCTCTTTTTGGGTAGCTCTCCCCCATCCTGGGTCCAGGCTTGGTGGCCTGAAAGCTGCATTTCAAGCCGGATCGACCCCAACTGAGTACAGCCTGGATGCAGGCGCAAGTGCCATCGCATGCATCTAGCAGCAGTCTGTGACAGGACAGACTGGTTCTTTTCAAGAGGACCAAAGAGGGGCGAGATGAGGCGGCTAGACACAGAGTTGGATGCTGAACCTTTGGTCATCGGAGAACCTGACAACTGCTCTTCTCCGAAGCGCTTCAGGGCCCCGAGCAGGTTGCTGGTTCGGTTCACTCTTCTCGCTTGCAAGCCGACAGAGAACTACAGGACTTCCTGTAGTGGAGCAGAGTTTTCGGACAGATCTTCCTGGTTCAGTTTGGTCATCATTTTTGGTGATGAACGACATGGCATATTAGTCAGTTTGGTCATTTGTAATACGATATTAAACGAACCGTTGAATAATTGGTGGGATGGCCCGGTAGGTATAGGGCACCGGAGAGTGGGCCTGCTGCCCTCGTTCGCTTCACTGAGGGTGGCTACCCAGCTCAAAAGAAGGGCCTCATGCGGGGGAGCCCTGGGAGCCCTGCGAGTGACGGGCGCTTGTTGCGCTCGAAGCGGTGGGGAACCAAGTGCCGAGCTACAAGGTGCACCTGAACTTAGTAGCTACTGTAATTGAGTGAACCACTTCAGTGGTGCACCAAGAACTGTCGGAACTTAAGCGAACTTCCCTGAACTTCAGTGATCAGATTGTGTTTATGTATAAGCGGTCACTCAGATCGTCCGTGATCCACGGGTTGGGTCGTGGTGCAGATATGCAACGCGGATTTTGGCGTTGACCCGACAGAATTGAAAGAATCAACCGATCAGGGAGGTGTTCTAGATCGGTTTCCATTTGGAGCCTGTTTCCAACTGGCGCTCTTAACAGGTTGTAGACGTGGGTGCTTGCAAAGAAGGAGCTCTGGCGGGTCCTTCTCATGCCAGCCAAAGATTGAAACCCAGATCCACAGATCCTGGATGGAGGGAAGCTGATCTACACCGGAAGAACCTCCTTTCCAAGCTTTCAACAAGTCTTTCAACACTTTGATGCAGGTTTCTTAGCGTGCGTCGCTATCACTCAACGGGCTCTCTTCGATCCAGACACTTACCCAATCTTGCGGCCACCTGTGCAAGTGCACCGCTAGGTAGCTCCTATGGTTTGTGTCAATATATTGCTGACGGTAGGCAGACCATTCGGTTGTGATTCGCAATGTGGTTTCATCGAAGGTTTCACATGGCTGGGTATTTGTCGACAATGAGCTGGCGTTTGGGTATGCAGTTCTAAGGAGAACATGTGACTTCCAATCTGGGCGACGGGCTCCATTCATGGCACCAAGGGAAGCAGGATGGCCCAAAGGTAGGCAACCATGTGAGATCCATGATCTCCTGTGATGTCTCCATGTCTCCGTTGGCACTTTGGAACGCTACTAGGAGCAAGGGCATCGCTACGATCGGGGCTCCTGGCCTTACTAGGAGCAAGGACGCTACGAACGGAGCTTACTACTAGTAACAAGAAGCTATTAGAAACAATAAGCTACTAGTAACAAGTGCATCGCTACTAGTAACAAGTGCCTTACTAGTAGTAACAAGAAGCTATTAGAAACAAGAATTAAAAGTCCCCATGTCTACGGCAAATTCCACCAACACGTGCCCACCAGGTCTCGGTTGTTTGGCAGCAAGCAGAAGCACATTGTGGAGGCCCTGGGCGAAAAACCGTGGGGACTGATGAGGCTCCAAGCCACACGAGAGAGAGAGAGAGAGAGTCGGCTTGGTCTTTCTTTGAAGATTTGGAATAGCTTGGACTAGTTGGACTAATTGACTTTCGACACATGTTTGTGACCACTGAAGCCATGTACGTGGTTTTAGGATCAATGAGACTTTGCGTGGGAACCTTTGGCTTTTGCTTCTCACGCTTTGCCCACAAGAAGCTCAACATGTCGTTTTGTTATTCTTTGTCTTCGGCAGATCCAATTTGAAAGACCACAGGCAATACATGGACATGAAGTCCTACCAAGGAAGATACAGCCATATAAAGAGAGTCCCTGCCGAGGAGTAAGGGTCAGGGTCCCAAGATTGTGATTCCCATCTTTCGTTCTTGCTCCGTTCGTAGTGATGCCGTTTGAGCCCCGTTCGTAGCGTCCGATCGCTCCGTTCGTAGTAAGGCCAGGAGCTACGTCCGTAGCGTCAGATTGCTCCGTTCGTAGCCAATCATTGGCGCCAGGATGCTGATACCATCTACCTACTCTCAGAGAGGAACAGCTGTCTACCGCTGGGTGTTCATGTCACAAACGTCTCCCTCTGACCCTCAGAAGGAAAACAAACAATCAAAATAGAACCATCAACACGCATCAGCCGTCTGTAGAACGTCACTGTATCAACTCATCTTCAAGAACGCCACTGGGAGTCACCGAGGAGACCAAAACCGTTCAAAACCCCAACAATGCATGGGACTGCCATATGACTGCCGACATTGACTCACTGAAACCACCGGCCCATGTATGTAAAATATGCCCCATGGATTGTCTGGGTCGAATCGTCCTGATGAACTGTGCGTGGACCGTGCGTGTTTCGCGTGTCTTGTTTCGATGTTGGCCGCCAGATCCCTCCGGGCACGAGCATGCTGGGTCAGGTGCATGACTCGACTCGCGAAGCCACTCCGAGTCGGTTGCATGAAGAAGTCATTTGGGCGATGGTGAAGAGGGACGGTGGGCATTTCGCGGTCATTGCGACATTCTTGTTGAACTTTGTGTGAGTCTGTTCTTTGCTCTTGAATCACTTCAACAAGTAGAGGGCTCTTGGTGCCACGAACATGCACATTACTCCACACATTGTTTCACAGTGAAACAAAGACTCACATTGCCTTGCTGGTGCCTCATCCTTGTGCTTGATTTCTGCCTCTAGCCAGAGTCGACCATCCGAAGCCTTCAGGATCTCCCAAAGTCACTTTGGCTTCTCGAAATGAAACAATGTTCACTACTAGGAACAAGTGCATCGCTTCTAGTAACAAGTGCCTTACTATAGTAAGTAACAATGTTTGCTAATAGAAACAAGTGCGTTGTGGGTCGAAGACGAGAGACGCCACCGAACGAGACGCCACCGTCATTTCGCTGACGCGAACCGGCGCAGGACCTGTCGAAGAGAGGTGACACCTGGTATGAACAAGAGCTGGCACGTCTAGGGAAGGCGCGGTGGACGTGGGCGATGACTTACGTCGTTTTTGATCCGTATCGTTTCTTTGGTTTTGGAGTCTTGTTGGAAGTGGAGATCTCAAATCCCTCAAAAACAGGAGCGTCCGTGAAGCAGGACATCAAAAGGATTCAAAAGGTCTCTAGCCCAACCTGCACGAATTTGCGCACCCTCCTCAGTACTCTCAGTACTCTCGTCTACGTCTTGCAACCAGCTGGCTAGCCGATCTTGCCTTGACTGGCAGGATGGCATTCGTTGCACCAAAGTGGGCACGAATGGAAAACCCTATGAGCGCTTTGCTGGGGCCCAATGGGAGCAGCTGAAAGAAGGCAGGGAAGGCTGAGGGCTCAAACGGATTGGGACGAACTACCTAATCTATTCGATAGATCTATCATATTTCAATATGTTTCACATATATTCTATCTTCCCTTCTCTTGCCAAGAGTACCACTACTGGTACATATATCTTAGACCCCCCTTTCCCACCCATGCGGGCTGTGGACGGTGCTCACGGAACCTGTGGGTGGGTTGGTTCTGAGGTCTATTTGGACTCACGCAACCTCACCTTGGAGATCCGGGGTGGCCGCTCCGGCACGTCAGGCGATCCGGGGTGGTTGCTTCTTCTGTTGCGAAGGAGGGTCAAAGCGAGTGGGTCAAAGCGAGAGTTTTTTAGGGGGATTCTTATTATGGTTTCAGGGGCCTTTGTTCTTTTCTGGGTTTTAAAAAAATGACACCATACACTCAAAACTACCATTGAAGTCGCTTGAAACACACAGTACGGTTCTTGGATTAAAAGGAATGACAATCAACCATAATGGGGAGAATCTTGTTCATCAATGTACATGTTGTTGGAGCTGCATGTTGCTGCCGACTCCTTTGTGGACGAAGAGCCTGCAAAGCAAGCTGCTGTTTGGTACGAAGAGCAAAAGCAGCTGCAAGCGAATATTCAAAAAGCTTTGGGACCCTGGGAGATGTCAAAACAAATGGAAGACCAGTTTCGGGTGCCCGAGCGAATTCGGCCTTCCAGCTTGCTTGTTCGATATTCTGTAAGAGCCGCGCCAGCCACTGGTTTCAGAGGTTGGGATGTCCCAGTCTTGATGGACAGACCCAATGACTGTACATGTCTCAGTGTTGACCATTAATGAACCCAGAAAGAAAATAGATGGACCTGGAGATCTTCTCTTCGGTGGTGCTTGGTGAACCAAGGAATCAGGCACACGGACACTAAGCCCATGTCTCTTGTAGCTGACTTCAAGATTGACCCGTTCATAGCTTGTCCAGGTGAATGAATGCATAAATCATCATATATAAATCATGTTCTATTTATATTGTAATTAATTATAGTATTATATATTGTATTATTGCAGAATATCCCAGGTGTGTAAAAGCTCTGTTTGCGTTTGAGGTTGGAGCTTGTAGAAATCGAACCAAGCGGAGGTTAAGAGTGGGAGAAGGTCGGAATCAAGTACTCAGACTCCAGACTCGAGAAAGCATATACTGTACCTGGAGAGAGATTAAACTTTTGATGAAATGATGCTCAAAGCTTTTCAGAAGATGCACACAAACAGAGCATGTCGCGAGATGCGGCGCGGTATGTCAATCGTGTCATTTTAAAGTTATCGCAACTGTCAAGCTGGTCACGACCTAATCAACTGCAGAGGCGAATGCTTCAGACCCATGAGAGGGCCTCCGTGCCGATGTGCTTCATGCGATCATTTCCACCCAGAAGCAGACTCAGATCCCATCTCCTATAATGTCCTATCAGAACCAAGACTTAAATACACCTGCTGCCTGCTCTCATTCAAGACACCATCTCACCAGCCGCACCAGCCCTTTCCCCTTTACCCATGGCGGGCTCGGCGGTCTCTTTGACCGGTGAGTTGCATGTCTTGCTGCTACGGCACGGTGAAAGCACCAACAACCCCCTCATGGCGGGATTGACACACCGTGCCGTAGC